GAAAGTCCAGGCCACTGACTTTTAAATCCACACTGAAAATCAGAACTGGGTATAAATCAGGATTATAAACCTCATATTGAAGAGGGACTATCAGAAAGGTGTCAAAGATGATCAACGCCCTAGGTATAGAGTCAAAATAGCTCAGATGTTAGCCTCAGAGTTAATTTACTCTTTTCCAAAATCTAACACTTGCAGCACATGGCAGTTAAGGTAAAAAAAACCCCAAAACCACACAAACCCCAGGAATCATTGTGGGATGCATAGGCAGCACAGGGAAGGGATTGCATCTTTTGTGTCCAGCAGCAATTGTACCCAGACCCCTGCAACTAATCTGGCATCAGCAATTTAAGTTCCCAAGAAGCTGTGAGAAAAGACAGAATGAAGTGGAATAGCCAGCAATATTCTATTTACAGTATGGATTAAGTTTTCAAATAAACAAGCTCAAAGTGCCTGTGTCTTTTGGAAAGTTTATTGGAGGGAGGAAGAACGTAATCTTATGAGAAAAATAATGGAAAAATATGGTGCTCCAACACTTTGATAGGTAGGATTTTTCTCTAGTCACTCAAGCTTTAGGAAAAGCATAATAGAGGACTGCAGCTGTATATTGGAAAAGTCCAAGTACACAAAAGAAATAATAAGAATGAGCCTGGAGTTAGTTTACTAGCTGTTGTTTATCAAGCTGTTTACCTAACTCTTAGTTTGCTCACAAACCAAAAGACAGCTTGTTATTTGCTAGTCCCAGCAAACTGCAATGGAGGGGGCACAGGTTTTCTCACTTCCCAGGATGTTTCTATCACTGTTGTTGGCTCAGTCTTTCCTTCTGCTGACGTGTCCCTAGGAAGAACCCTGCCTAGATATCCCCAGAACACCCATGTACTGTACTTAATAGCCAATATTAATGCCAGTTGTTCCATCACCTGCATCTCCCACCAGTCACTTGATGCATTCTATTAGTCACTCATATTCCTTTTCTCTATCTGTATTTTAACTAGCAGCAAATGTGACACTGAACTGTTGTTAATTAAGCCCAGCGAAGGAAATCACATCAGTAACTTACATCACAATGGCTGGTTTCTATCTGTGTGGGTACCACACACCCATGCACAGACAGTGTAATCGTTCTGTGGTCTGTTGCCTGTCAGGCACCGTGGTCCCTTAATTGCCTCATATGCACAGACAGCGTGTGCTCACACTCCAAATGCTACCAGCATCATTAGTTCTTTTCACACTTCATTTCTCCATGCATGGCATTCAGAGATTTCACAATCTGCATATCCTCCTTTTAAGACATCACAGAGCTCTTCTGCAGACCTTTGAGGGACTAACGAGCAAGATGTCTCTAGTTTATTAATTAGCTGCTTATCAGCCATATTCCACAGCTCTCTACTAGTTCAGCTGCTCAGCTACAGTAATTAGACGACCCACTTTTCAGTCTTTTATAGCATTGCCTTAGAGAGAAAGTTTCACTGTTCTTGAGACTGTGGTACTTTCTGGCAATTATTAGACATCTCCTGAATGACTAATAGAGAAATCCCACTTTCTGTATTATTCACTGCAGCCTTACAGCTCCCCATTCTGTGTTTTGTCTCATGCACTCTGCTGTCAATATGTGCCATCACTGGCACTCGAGCATCCAGATGTTATCTGAAAGCTTCTTTATTTGCATTATTCAGATAAACAGTCAAAAAGCATGTATTCACACTCCCTCAGAATGAGACTGCAAGTAAAGTGGATAGTGTTACTTCTTATGCTGTAATCTTTCTCAAACGGAACAAAATCAAGCCAACAAACATATGCTGTCTCTGCTTCATGCAATGAAAGGCTTGTTTGTATGTCTGAACTCAGGATTTTTATTAGCTACCAACAGCTCATGCACTCATAGTACCTGACATGCAAAAATTTATAGAATATGAAACAGCCTTTTCTTTTTCAGTTTGCCAATCAGTCATAATTATCATCGTGCACTGAGTACAACTGGAGGGACTTACCCCTGCAGACAGCCATGGTCTGTATCAGTCACTGCCACTGTATCCCAGATAAAAAGTGGGCTAATCCTGTAAAACAGGGTGACTTCTTTTCTTCATGCCATCAGTAAGGCATTGCAGAAGTATATGATGATTGTATTATATTCTCCATAGCAGAGAAAAACAAAACAAATCTACTTATCTATTACTGTAAGAGAACTTGAACTGTTTGTTCAAGGAGATGAAGCACTTCATCATCATCTTGCTTTTCTGACACGCAACTTGCAGAATTGCCCCTCGTGTTGCCTTATGCACAGACACACAGATGAAAACAGCATGTTCTGTGCAGTGTATGCATTTGATTAGAAAATTGTGAACACGAAGTTTGGATTTTTTTTCAATGTGAATGTAAGGGGGAAAATGAACAGGGAACGTCAGCTCTCCACAGAGCTTCCATAATTCGGTGAAGTAAGCTTTACAGACATGTCAGTCAGAAATAGTGCCAAGGTGTGCCATATATCTGTTCAAAGTATTCTATGTGAATTAAACCGTTCCACAAGAAACCACTGACTTCACTTGTCTTCACTTCTTAGTTTGGTAGAGTGATGGACACTTGCGAGATTATTCTGCTTTTTTTGTTTGTTTGTTTGTTTTCTGGGGTTGTTTTTGAGCCTAAGAAAGAGATGGCTGCACAGATTACTTCACTTAAAAATTCCCTTAAACAAGATGTCTATGGAGAGTTTCTTTCACCATATTATACTTTCTATCACCTACAGTAAGGACCAGCTCCTTTACATTCCTCAGCTCACACTCAAGATCCTACACAGTGTTTTCAGATTAACTGGTAACAAATGAAATAGACACAAAACTTCAGTGAATACTACCTGAATGCTGTGAGAAGTCTTATTACACAGTGAAGACAAATCAGACATTTAGGCAGGCTGAAATCTCAGACCCAATCAATGTACTGAGACTGGCCTAAAGCCATGCAGGCTTCAAGCATGTGTGAATAGATAAACTTGAGTCCTCTCATAGGAAAATTATTTTGCATGCCTGGTGGCACATACTTTTTGCCCAAAAGCTGTCTCTCAAGCCCCGTGAGTTTTCAGATCATGTAACCACTCACTTGCAAGTACTCTACATAGTCATTCACACTCTTACATAGAGTAACAACTCTGTAAATCTCAGAACCCAAGCTGCAGGTGCTCAAAGCTTGTTTGTCTTACACCCCATCTGAGGATTCAGGTGTGGAGCCAAAGGTCCTCACGGTCCAAGTGCTGATGCTCAACTAAGTGAAAGATTTTCTGATCAGATTTTCTGATTTTTTCCTTCTCAAGAAGGACTTGGTGGGAAGCTCCTTAAGTGCTACGTGTTCCAACCTCTGCCCTAGCATTTGCAAAACAAAAATTAAGGCAAAGTGACAAATAACAGTAGCTGCCCACAAGAGGCCTAAGTAAAATCAGTAGCGGTGGTGGAACAGCCACATCAGCACTGCTGCAAAAAGCCAGTCCTGAGGCTATCAGCTGAAAGCAGATGTCTTTGAACTATCCTACACTTAAAACCCCGCTTCATCACTCATTCAGTGATGTGTTTGCTTAGACAGATGATGAGTAAATTTTCTGCTACCACCTAAGCTAGTTGTTACTGAGCACTATTAACATATCTCTTAAAATAAACTGCAAGAAGCAACCCCCAACAAATATAAAACATCTTGCAATTACTTCAGTTATATCTGCTTCTTCTTATGTTTCAGCTGTAGAATTCTGTACCTGCTCCCCATTCCTTAGTCCCTGGAGTCGATACTATCAGGACAAATGGTTCATGTTCAAATCCTCAGCACTCAGGGTCTGTGAAGATATATAATAGGTTTATAGCAAGTAATTGAATGGTTAAACACAAAGAACTAAGCTTCTGCCAGCTACTGTCAGCAGATGCTATGACAGCAAGAGACACAGCTCCCTTGGAAAACATCTCCATAAAATGGAATGAACTCTATCAAAAGCTCTTGAGATGCAAAGCATATTGCTCTGACCACATGCAGTATAAGCAGACAGCTAGTTAGAAACTTATATGAAACAAAATTTCAAAGCAAAACACTCCAGCAATCCTCTGTGTGCCTTTCACCAGCCAGTGGGAGGCTGCAAGACTAAGGCTGACAGGTGTCAGATGTACTGTGTAATGCCTGGCTGAGGAGTGCTCATATGCTCTAGCAGTAAAAAGCCTCATGAAGCAGCGCAGGAAGGCTCAGATCCAGAAGGCAGTTGCCTTTTCTTTGCCTGTCTTTTCTCAGTGTAGTGGGTTGACCCTGGTTGGATGCCAGGTACCTAAGGCCACTCTCACTCCCCTCTGCAACTGGACAGAGGAGAAAAAAAACCAGTGAAGGATTCATGAGTTGAGAGAAGAGCTGGGAGAGGTCACCATCAAGGGCAAAACTGTCTAGGAAATTTCAGGCACCCAGAAGCAGCTGGGGAACCTCACGAGGGAAGGCCTCAGTGCTGGAACAGAAAGACACTGCCTGTACAGTTCACTCAAAGGCTCACAAGGGACCATCACATGTGCTTGGGAAACGCCACTATGCCCACCTGCCCTCCAGCCACACACTCAGCAGCACCTGTGGATTTTAGACTTTCCATTTCTTGAGTTCAGTAACCTACAATAAATTAATGTTACATAATCTGCTTTGCAATAGAGAGAAATTTAATTTTTGAATGGAGCTTAAATAAAACTAGTCCTGCTGACTAGTCAAGAACAGTGCACAGGCTCTGGCCAACCTGGAGTTAAACCTATCGACTGGCAGGATGATGCCAGCACGTTCACTGATCTGTTGTATGATGCCAAACAGGAAAGGTAATGGCTGAGTTCCTCCTGCCTTTCTCTTGGCAGAAATATTTCACTTTTTCTCCTCTATCTGGCTACTGATTTACCTTTTTTCATTTGTAAGGAAGAGTATATTAGCATTCAATTATAGATTATTTTAGCCAGTATTTTACAGATTCCTTTATTAAATCTCTCACCAATTGCTTTATCAGATCTTTCTTGCCTTAAAATTATTTTATTTGCACCACTGTTATCATCTTTCAACTGATCAAGAGATCAAATTTTTAATTTCGCAGACAATACATTATGCCTTGTGTTTTAAAAATAAAAGACAAACCCCTGATTTCACTTAATCAAAGTAAAGAGAGAAGTAAGCTTAACTACCATGTTGATTTCTAAGGCATTCACCAGTCCTGACTGCAGGTCTGAGCTAATTTCACGTCTTCTGACATGCTGTGGAGATTGCAGACAGCAATTCTTAAAATCACTTTTACATTTGCATGTATCTTTATTGCAATTTATTTGTACAGGGCCAGCATTTTATAAAGGAACTTGAATTGGATTAAATAGCAAGAGACATTTACCCATTATGCAATGGAAAGAGAAAAAAATACAGCCTTGAAAAGTTCTGTGACTCATTTGCTGATTTCCTTTCTTACATTCTCAGTCCCACTTGGAAGTTTTCCTTCTCATATACCTGGACCCTTCACTGTCGATTGCTTCATAGAGATCTTTTTTATTCTCTGCTGTTGCGTGCAAATAACCAAGGTAGGCCACACAGAGGCTAATTGTTATCAGTCCAAATGCCATCATAGGTTTGTTCTGACAAGAAATAAAAAGATAGTACATGTTTTTAGTGAAAACTTTTTTCATCCAACTCAAACATTACATTCTTCTATTTTAGCTTAGAAAGTGAACGGTAAATTATTGTGACATCTGCAAAAATCATCACTGCCTTCTTGCAGATTGAATTTTTTGATAGCAAAAAGAATTTCCTCTCAAAAAAAAGATCCTTTCTGGAGACAGAACATCACATTGCCCAGTCCTATGTATTTTGCTGGGCAGAAATGCTGCTTGAGCATGAATGAATAAGCCAAAACCAATTACTAAAGGTCACTACTACAAACTTCTAACAGAATTCATCTGGATATACTACTGGGACAATGCCCTCTGCTCCTATCAAGCAACCTTGATTATAGGTTTTGTGTTATTATCACAAAATTTACTTCTATTATACGCATAAAATGTCATTCATTGCTGGGTTCTGCAAGTGCAAATAAAACCTCAAGTTCATCAACTTAATTATAAAAGAAAAAGAAAAATCCAAAATACCAAAAAGCTACCAAAAATCCCCTCATTTCATATCAAAGAATCTTGCATTTTATGATTTGTTCCTTTTTAAATATTAAAAACAACTGCTATTACTTAACTTGTCAAATTACATGGGTAATATGTCTGTAAACAGACTTTCTGAAAGAAGCTTGACTAGGTACAAAAGAACCAGACAATACAACAGTGAAATAAGAGCTGCAATAAACAATGTAATGTTCTGGGCTCCTAACAATCAGAGTGAAAAAAAGTAAAAATATTTTTAGTTACATTTCTGAGTGGTTTGCATGACAAGAGATTGTTATATAACACACACAGAATTGTGATCATTATTTTAAAGCAACTATGTCTCTTCAAGCATATTTAGTTTCTTGAGCATCTTACAGGTTTAATGAAAAGCTCTGGGTTCACAGCTCGGAAGAGCATAGTTGTCTGGACACTCCTCAGTCCTGGTTTTCTCTCTTTGGGTGTTTCATTTTCATTGGAAGGTCTGGTGGAAGACATGTTACTTAATATTGAATACTTCCTAGAAGCAGAATGAAAAACAGGTGTCATTTTTGTAAAAAACCTAAAAGAGCTACATTCACTGAATAGAGTTCACACTCAATTTGCCTTCTTTCAGCATGAATTTTAGTTTGTGTATATATTAATGATTGCTTTTGGTGTCACCTAACATTCCCAGTTTGAGCATACCAATTTTCAATCCTGTTAATTTTGTGCACCCTAAAATTAACTTTTGGAGATGCACATCTTCATACAGCAAATCTGAATCTTCTGATAATGGGCTGGGGGGGGTTTCACTTGCCTTTGGCTAATGCTTTAGCTAATTGTGGACTGAGCAGCATCAGTCTTCAGACCACTGGCTAAAAAGACAGTGCCAGGAAACATTGTTTTTTTTTTTTTTTTTTTTAACCCTTATATGTGTGAAGACAGCCCAAACCCTGCTGTAGTACACCCACCCAGCAGCCCCAGGACTCAGGTCTCACTTTTGCACACATTGGGCAGGTCCAAGACGCCTTGGGTTCAAACTGAAAGAGGGGAAATCTAGGCTAGTTAGAATACAGAAGAATTAGAGCATGGAAGAAATTCTTTAGTGTGAGGGTGGTGAGGCACTAGAACAGGTTGCCCAGAGAAGTTATGGATACCCCATCCCTTCAAGGCCAGGTGGGATGGGGCAACTTTGTCTAGTGAAAGGTGTCTCTGCCCATGTCAGGGGGGTTGGAACTAAATGATTTTATGGTCCCGTCCAACTCAAACCATTCTGTGATTCTACGATTCTATGCCACCTGAGCAAAGGTGGCAAAACGCCCTTGGCTAACGCTGCTGACAGAGGGGCAGAGGCGACACGGTGCTGGGGACCTCCCTGGGAAGGGCAGGGGAAGGGCAAGGGAAGGGCAGACGCCTCCCCGCGGGCGGCGAGGGGGCTCCTGGCGTCGCCACCGGGACGAAGGGGGCAGTTTGGCAGGGGAAAAGCCCGCCGGGGACTCCCGGGACACGCAGGACTCCCGCCGTCCCCGCCGCCTCAGGGAGCAGTGGCACGAGGGGAGCGGAGGGGGAAGTTATGCCCCGCGCGCGCGCGCCCCCCGCCGCTACTCACCGCGCGCCTCCAACGGCTCCTCCCCGCGGGGCGGGGCGGGCAGGGCTGCGCCTGCGCATTGGCGCCCCCTCCTGGGCGGAGGGCAGTGGCGCAAGCGGGAGGGGCGGGACAGGGCCCGGGTCCGGGTCCCGCCCGTCCTTTCAGCGGTTTGGCGGCGGGAGAGGACCAGGAGAGCATGTACCCATCGGGTGGGGCTGTGGGGTTACCTCGTCTATAAATCATAGAATCATAAAGAATCATGATCATCCAGTTCAACCGTCCACCCAGCGCTACCACTGTAACCCCTAAACCACTAAACCATATCACCCAGCGCCAGATCCAGGCGCCTCTTGAACACTTCCAGGGATGGTGACTCGACCACCTACCTCCTTGGGTAACCTATTCCGACGCTTGACCACCCTAACAGTGAAATTTTTTTTTCTAATGTCTAATCTGAGTCCCCTGTGTCTCAGCTAAAAGCCGTTTCCTCTTCCTTTCACTGCAGGCATGGTAAAAGACACGATGAGGCTCCTCTTGACCCTCCTCCGGGCTAAACACTCCCAGCTCCCTCATAAGATATGTTGCCCTTCCCAGACATGTCCCAGCACCTCAATGTCCTTTTTAAAGTGAGGGGCCCAAAACTGAACATAATGCTGAATAATAATAAGCGGGAGGCAGGGGAAGGAGCTGGCTCTGTGGGCAGAGGAGCCCTTCACTCCTCAGTGCCCAGGCACGGTCACGCCAATCCCGAGAGCTGCCCGTGATTCATCCAGCAGTACAAATGCTGGCAATCAGGCTGTCAGCAATTAGGTTTTAGATGTCGGAAATGGAAAAGGAGGAGTAGTAAGTTTTGCCCGTCTGTTGATCCCAAGTGCCAGAATGGGGAAAGGATATTTCATGTGGAGGCAGGTCTCTGGAAGTGCAGTTGGTTGAGCAGAAAAATACATTGGGTTTTAAACATTTGATTTCTGTTGTGTAGATCCAAACCCAAGATTTCAGGCATCTGGAAACTCCTGGTTATATAAATGCTGCTTTGTGGTGTTTTGTTTCCTTTCATTTGTAAACAGTAAAATTAATAAAATTGCTGGAGTCCAGAGGAAACAAAGCCCACCCGATCACCTCTTACTGCTCATGCCACCCTTTCCACTTCCACTGACTTCAGTGCCATTGGGCAGTTTCAGCCCCATTAGAAAGTAGAGGAGAAATTTGAAATTTTGGAAAAAACAATACATGGAAGGTAGGGAGGGACACAGATCAGTGTTCCCCTAGGTAACCAGCTGGCAGAACCAAGATATGATAGATAATATTACAGAACTTCTAGCTGCAGCCAACTGGAGGATTAGCATATAATTCTGGGCTCACCAACTCCAGTTCACACTTCTCTGTGTGTGAACTGGAGGTGTGTGAGAGGACTTTGGTGGAGTGTGTTGCAACCATGGGGACAGAAGGGGACAAACATAAGTCTTGGCAGATAGCTGGCTGAACAAGAGCCAGCAGTGTGCCCAGGTAGCCAAGAAGATCAATGGCATCCTGGCCTGTATCAGAAATAATGTGGCCAGCAGGACTAGAGCAGTGAGTATCCTCTTGTACTCAGCACTGGTAAGGCCACATCTCGAGCGTTGTGTCCAGTTTTGGGCCCCTCTGTTGGTTCAGTGGAGGGCAACGAAGATGATGAAGGGTCTGGAGCACAAGTCCTATGAGAAGTGGCTGAGGGAGCTAGGGTCTTCCAGCCTGGAGAAAAGGAGACTCAGGGGGGATGTTATTGCTCTCAACAACTCCTGAAAGGAGGCTGTAGCCAGGTGAGGGTCAGTCTCTTTGCCTAAGTAACAAGTGACAGGACAAGAGGAAATGGTCTCAAGTTGCATCAGTGGAGGTTTAGATTGGATATTAGGAAAAATTTCTTCCTGGAAAGCATAGTCATGTGTTGGAACAGGCTGCCCAACAAGGGCTCAAAAGGCGTGTGGATGTGGCGCTTGTGGATATGGTTTAGTGGTGAACATGGTGGTGCCAGGTATATGGTTGCACTTGATAATCTCAGAGGTCATTTCCAACCTCAATGATTCTATGAATCTATGAAATGTGGAGGTATCCAGACACTCAGAACCACTTGCTCCATGGTTTGTTTTTTTTCAGTAATCAAGCTACCTTTGTTTTTTGAAAGATGGCGGAGTAATAGTATATTGGAGGTTAACTCGTCCCTTCTAAATCCAGATGGAGTATCTAAAGAATTTTTTTTGGTTTTGTGACTAAATATAAGACGAGAAAATTAGTGGGGAAATAAGTTTTGTGTCAAGAGAGGATTGAGTGGTATGTCTGGGTTTTGTGTCAACATTTAATTCACCACATACCATCTGCTAATCTGGTAGCTATTGTTTTGGTGGCATATGCTACACAGCTGATTTTGTTTGGAAACTATTGAGTAGGAAATCCAAGTGAAGCTTGCTGCTCTTGTTTGTTTTCATTTTTGTCTAATTTAAAGAAGCCAATAGGAGGTTTTTGCAGGAGCCTTCATTTTTGGGAAGATAGCCTGATTTTCTTGAGGGGAAGGGGGATTTTTAACAGTACTGTAAGAGATAATCTGCATACAGCTCCTAAGCAATTTTTCCCCCCACATTTTATATGGGAAGGCAAAACATGTATATCACCACACTGAGAAAGCACACTTGCTTATCGGCACATGCACCCCTTCCCAGCAGTTACACCATCCATGCCAATAAAAGTTCTGATCCAAAGTCAGTCAGGGTCATGATAGTATTTTCCAGGTTGTGGTAGGATGGGTTTATGCCAGAACACATTTGCCATATAATGGTGGCAAGGACTGTTAGATTGCTGCTACCTGTCGGGCACTTCCCATCTTTCTTATGGAGGACAGGTAAGTCCCAGACATCCTTGACAGGGAAGGATTTGACACTGTACAAAGAACACCATTAGCTGGAGAGAAAATATTCTCCATATGAAGAGCTGTGAGAGAAGGCTTTTTGCATAGAAAGAGAAGCAAAGAGGGACATAGAAGTGAGTTTGGGTTTTGATGTGAATGTTGGTACTTGGAATGTGTACTAAGCATGTTCCAACTAGCCAGGTTAACCATACAGTGATAAAAAGCTTGGATTGCTTACTGTTTCTAGTTTTGCTTTATGACTGTGGGAAAGTGTTGTATTTTATCTTTAATGTGAATATCATCCTATCATCTGACCCAACAGGATGTTGAAATGCTCAGTCCATCAGGGCTTATAAAGTTGTTTGGCATCTTTTTATAGAAGAGATTCTATAAAGAGTAGAATAGTAAATATCTGTGGAATTTCTGAGTCACCCATCGTCTAATATCTGAGTATCTCTTCTGAAAAATAACCACACAAAAAACCCTTCCTTTTCCAAACCTAAGTCTGTTACTGAGATTTATATTCCTTTCAAATAAATTCCTTTGGGATTTTGCATTCAAAGGATTCTGCTGTATGCCGTAGTCATTCAGAACATAATAGCAGTTTCTGCTTTTCTTGAGACTCACATCCCCTTATCGTTTGAGCTGCAGAAGAGCCTCTGTAGGGAACAGAGCAAACCCGATGCTGTGCCCCGCAGACATCGTTAGCATGCGACAGCCAGCCTATTGCAGTCCGGGGAGCAGCAGCAGTGCCTCCACGTCTTTGCTGACTGACCTCACAGCTCCTTCCTATTTCAAGTACCGCACAGGAACAGAACTTCGTATTGTCTTCAGCATAAAGATAGGGTGCCTCAAGCTACTGATAAGATTATCCCTACTTTAGAAACACAGTTTCTAAAGCTGTTGTGGGAAGGAAAAATTCTTTTTGCATCAACGGTGGGACTTCACTGGTATGACTTGTACTGAGAGGGGCAACTTTCATCACATGTTTGTTAGGATTTTCATACGTGAGTGTAAACTGTGTGTCTGCATTCCTGTTTTGCCTGATTTTTAAAATGTTTTATACACTGTCAGTTTCACAATATTTTGAGTTGATAACTGGGACTTTTTTTTTCATCCTGAACAAGTCTAGGGGAGAAGGAAAAGCAAAAATTAGGAATTAGAAGTATTTCCCCTTGCTCACAGCTAATGGCGAGGGAACCCATTGTTGCACTGAGGCATGTGCAACAGTATTGTCATATTAAGGACATAACTGCAGAAGAAGAAACAAACAGACCAGCTAGACAGGGGTGGCATTGAGAACGTTCTGTGTGGTTGTTGCTCCGCTCATGTCATTCTCAAGAGTCCTTATGCTGCTTTTCAGCAGCTCTCGCTCATTTCTGTCATTCCCATTGAAAAAAAGCAGTTTTCAGACAGCAGCATGCAGTGGTTGGGACCCCTACCACTGACAATCCAAAACAGTTTTAAGGCAATTTACATTTTAAAAATGAAAATCTCTTAGAGTGAATCTTCTATGTTTCGTAACAGTCTGTGTATGTCTTCTGTAATACTTGATAGCCAGCTGTGTCTCTGAGAGACAAACAAGCCTTCCAGCAAAGATTAAAGCAGTTGTTATTCTTCAGACACTGATTAAGCTTATAAATTTTTTTCAATAGAATTCAGTATGGAAGGAAAAAGACACTTTCTTTGGTTCTACTTTCATTAATGAGTGGGCAAATTGTTTCTGACTGGGAACAGAATAATATCAAAACTGAAAGCATCCCCTCTGGAAAGAAAAAGCTGGTTTCTGCTACAAAGGAAGAACAGAGAAACATGTGCAGCACGGAATTTTCTCATTACAACAATATGCCAGATACCTTAGAGTGGGTTTAAAGACAAACTTGAGCTAAGACTGCATCTCCAAAAAGGAGGGGCAAGGGGAGATCTGTTTGCGCTTGTAGTTGCTCTGGTCTTCCTTGCATGCAATCTCAGAATTGCTCAGCCTTGGATCATGCCAATTTTTTGCTCAACTCTCTAGTCCAGCTGAAAACTAATATTGCCAGAAAACAAACAAACAAACAGTTTATTTTTCAATTGGATGAGTGAGATGGTCTGATGTAAGCAGGCCAATGCAGTTGGGAAGGCAGTTGGGAGTGGGGCCACAGACCAGGACTGACCTCTGCCTTCAACACTTGGGCTCCCAATAAGTTAAAATCCTTCTAGTGCCCTCTCTCATCTAGACACTTTTCAGACCTCAGACAGGGAACACAGCTCCTAAGAAGACTACAGAGGGCAGAAATTTTACAGGTTCAACAGAGCGAACTCCGTAGTAAGGAACTCTGACACGCAGTAGCCTGGAACTCTCAGATTTTCTGCACCTTACAGTTGCTTTTTAATATATAAATACCATCACATAGAATCATAGAATCATTAAGGTTGGAAGGGACCTCCAAATCATTGAGCCCAGCCTTTGACCAAACACCACCATGCCAGCTACGCCATAGCACTAAGCGCCATGTCCAGTTGTTTCTTGAACATTTCCAGGGATGGTGATTCTACCACTGCCCTGTGCAGCCCATTCCAATGCTTAACCATGCTTTCAGTGACAAAATTTCTAGTCTCCAACCTGAACCTCCTCTGGTACAGCTTAAGGCCTTTCCCTCTCGTCCTGAGAAGAGGCTGACCCCCACCTGGCTAAAACCTCCTTTCAGGTAATTCTAGAGATTGAAAATGTCTGCCCTGAGCCTCCTTTCCTCCAGGCTAAACACCCCCAGCTCCCTCATCTGCTCCTCATAGGACTTACCCTCTAGATCCTTCACCAGCTCCACTGCCCTTCTCTGGACGCACTCCAGCACCCCAATGTCTTTCTTGTAGTGAGATGTCCAGAGCTGGACACAGGACTTGAGGTGTGGTCTCACCAGGGCTGAGTACAGGGGGACAATCACTGCCCTAGTCCTGCTGGCTACAGTATTTCTGATACAAGCAAGGATGCCATTGGCCTTTTTGGCCACTGGGGCACACTGCTCGCTAGTGTTCAGCTGATGTTGACCAGCACCCCCAGGTCCTTTTCCACCAGGCAGGTTTACAGCCTCTCTGCCCCCAACCTGTAGTGCTGAAGGGGTTGTTGGGACCCAAGTGCAGGACCCAGAACTTGGCCTTATTGAACCTCACACAATTGGCCTTGGCCCATCAATCCAGCCTGTCCAGATCCCTCTGCAGAGCCTTCCTGCCCTCCAACAGACCAACACTCCCACCCAACTTAGTGTCATCTACAAACTCACTGAGGGTTCACTCTATCCCCTCGCTCAAATCGTTAATAAAGATATTAAAGAGGACTGGCCCCAATACTGATCCCTGGGGGGCACTACAGGTCACCGGCTGCCAATCGGATACAGCACCATTTACCACCACTCTTTGGGCCCAGCCATCCAGCTAGTTTTTCACCTAGCAAGGAGTGAACATGTCCAAGTCACGGGCTGCCAGCTTTTCCAGGAGAATGCCATGGGAGATGGTGTCAAAGGCTTTGCTGAAGTCCAGGTAGTCTACATCCACAGCCATCCCCTCACCCACTAGGTGCGTCGCCTGGTCATAAAAGGAGATCAGGTTAGTTAGGCAGGACTTGTCTTTCACAAACCCATGATAGCTGGGCTTGATCCCCTGGTTGTGCTGCATGATGGCTCTCAAGGTGATCTGTTCCTTGACCTTGCCCAGCACTAAAGATAAGGTTGACTGACCTGTAGTTCCCAGGATCCTCCTTCTTGTAGATGGGTGTCACATTGGTTAACCTCCAGTTAACTGGGACCTCTCCGGTTAGCCAGGATTGATGATAAATGATGGAAAGAGGCTTGGAGAGCTCTTCCACCAGCTCCCTTAGTACCCTCAGATGAATCCCATCTGGTCCCACAGACTAAATGGGTCTAAATGGCTCAGCAGTCCACCAGCTACTTCCTGCTGGATTGCAGGGGGCCTGTTCTGCTCCCTGTCTACCATTTCAGGGTGCTGTTTGCCCTGAGGATAACCGGTCTTTCTATTGAAGACTGAGGCAAAGAAGGCATCAGGTACCTCAACCTTTTCCTCATCCTTGGTTACAATGTTCCCCTCTGCATCCAATAAAGGATGGAGATTTTCCTTGGCCCTTTTTGCGATGTTAATGTATTTATAAAAACACTTTTAATTATCTTTCACAGCAGTAGCCAGATTGAGTTGTAGCTGAGCTTTTGCCTTTCTGATTTTCTCTCTACATGACCTAACAAGACCCTTGTACTCTTCCTGAGTTTCCTGCCCCTTTTCCCAAGGGTCATAAACTCTCTGTTTTTCCCTGAATTCTACTGAAAGCTCCCTATTCATCCAGGCCAGTCTTCTTCCCCACTGGCTCATCCTTTGGCACACAGGGACAGCCTGCTCCTTCGCCTTTAAGATTTCCTTCTTGAAGTATGTCCAGCCTTCCTGGACCCCTTTGTTTTTAGGGGCTGTTTTCCAAGGGACTCTCTGAAACAGTGTCCTGAACAGACCAAAGTTCACCCTCTGGAAGTCCAAGGTAGAAGTTTTGCTGACCCACTTCCTTATTTCAGCACAAATTGAAAACTATATTTTCATGGTTGCTATGCCCAAGGTGGCCTCTGACCACCATATCTCCCACCAGACCTTCTCTGTTTGTAAACAGCAGGTCAAGCAGGGCCCCACCACTGGTAGGCTCACTTAATGAGCTATGTCAGGAAGTTATTTTCCACACACTCCAGGAACCTCCTAGACTGCCTCCTCTCTGCTGTCATGAGCTTTCAGCAGACATCCAGCAAGTTAGTCTCCCACAAGAAAAAGGGCTAGCGATCATGAAATGTCAGCCAGCCTCTTATAAAATAGTTCATCCACCTCTTCATCCCAGTTGGGTGGTCTATAGCAGACTCCCACCAGGGTATCTGCCTTGTTAGCCTTCCCCCTGATCCTTACCCATAGGCACCCAACCTAATGATCACTATCATTGAGCTCTATACAGTTGAAACACTTCCTAACGTACAGAGCCGCCCCACCACCTCTCCTTCCTCTCCTATCCCTTTTGAAGAGCTTGTAGTCATTCATTGCAACACTCCAGTCATGGAAGTTATTCCACCATATTTCCACAATGGCGACTATGTTATAGCTTTCCTGCCGCTCAATGGCCTCTGGCTCTTCTTAATGAAATACAATAGAGTGGCACTGTCTAATGTTTGTATACTCGGTATGATGGAGATACAACTGTGAGTGTCATAAAGATGCTTAAACAGCTTTGACATTAAAGTGATAGGATTGTAACTACTCAGTTCAATAGGCTCTTGGGGCTTTTTTTCTTTTCCATCTCTGTAGGACAGTTACAATTGCTCAGATGTCTTTAATGCCATAAAAAAGTTTGGATTTAAAGTTAAATTTTAATTTTCTCAGTACTACAGGTGATCACAATATTCCTACAGTACTACAGGTAATCCCAGTATTTCTACAGTGATTTTAGCCTTTGAATTACTTATGCGAATGAGACCTTGTTCAGCCATCCGTGGCTTTTGTCAGGTGTTCGGCAGCAGTACCGGGAGGAAGGTGCTCACCTGGCACCCTCCAGCAGGTAGCTGGGAGGCTTTGTTTGGACTTGCAGTCCAGCTCCAAGATCTGGTACTTTCAGTCACACTCCAGAGGCATCAGCTTCTCTGGGGTACCAAGGTCCTGATTCAGGCACCTGTTAGGCTATATGGTACCTTCCTCTCTGTAAAACTACGAAACATTCACATATAATTTCTGGATAACAGTCACAGTAAGTTTAAGCTAAATAAACTATACTATGAATAAATTATACTGCGAAGAATTCATGTAAGAGGCAAGGAATTCAGTCTTTCTCCTTATTTTGTAATGTTACTCAGCAGTATAGCCACATCCCAGGTAAAAATGGCCACCAAAGCATTGATATTCAGTAAGATGCATAAGGCAGAACATAAACACTTATTCCACTGCTTAGTTATTAAAAATAAAGCTATAGGCTTTCTGGTGAGGAGTGGTTCATCTGCCTAATCCAATGTGGGAATCGATTAGCAGGTACAGTAACCAAAATATATTTTAATAACAAAATTCAGGCTTCACTTGCTTAGGAAAACCACTGTAATTTAAAATTTTAAGAGAAAGGCCTTTCTGAGCACTGTGCAATATATTGTTAGGAGTAATGTGAGCCTAAAAGAATATTTGTGTTTTATGGACAGTCGACTTGCCCAAGACAACACAAAATACAAATCTGATGTAAAATGTCAGAGAGCAAACAGGGTGGGAGTTAAGGCTCACAACACACGTGTCTTCAGGCTGTGCCGTTGCTACTGTGAAAGAACAAAGTGTGCAGTGTTTGAGCTGATGCAATGAGTGCTCAAAAGATGCAGATAAATCCTGTGACTTCAAATAAATGCCACGGTTTCCTCATATCTTTCTGATGATACAAGACACTTTATGGTTCTGGTTTGAACAGTGTGCCAGGAGAGATGATCAGGTTTCACTCATTTAATTTATATTACCTAGGAGATAAGCAGTTTCCATCTTCAAGGCTTAAAGAGTAACTCCCTTTCTTGGAAATGTATTGTTAATTGTTAATTCCACTAGAAAGCTGGGGTCCAGCTGCAATCATTCACTGAGGTGCAGGTGAGTTAGAATTTCTTGTTATAAAATGTAGTTTCGCTGAAGGAGAAGTTGTTTTTCAGATGTCAAATAGGCTTGATAATAGCCTCAATCGAGCGTCCCATCAGTTATAAACCAAGGATATAATCCTCTTTTTGCTGCACTACCACAGTACTTTATAACTACTACAGTTAAAAATCATAATGGGGCCATAGATGATTGCTTGTTCATGTGGAAATCTTTTGACTTTTTCAATTATTTTTTTATTTTATGAGTTGACTAAAGCATTAAAACAGTAACAGTAGCCTGAATGGAACAGTAATACTTAACGTTGAAGATCATTTGCTTCAGAAGGAGTTTTTTTGTTTACATCAGGAGAGCATAGGAGAGAGGGGTTATTCGTTTAGCATGAAGGTGAGGAGAAATGCAGTTGTAGTTGTGTAGGTGAAATATGTACATCATGACTTAAAAAAATTAAGTCATTTTGCTGAACTTAATTTTTTTTAGTTACAGAGTTCACTAAGTAACAAAGAAAACAGTGAACTGTGTCTGCCCTCTCTCAAAACCCATTCATTGCTGCAGAGAAGAGACCACAGCAATTAGCAGCTGGCAAAACATCACACTCAGTAGCTGCTGGTTTTTTAAGTAGTGGTTGTGGTTTCCCTAAATACAAAACAAGACAGGATTTTGTCACCACTTGCTATAATAATAATGCCAAGCATGTTTTATGTTATGAAGCCACTGAAAATGTAGTTTAGAAGTTGTATTTTCAGAGAAGTGAAAATACAGCAGCTAAGATCCTGAAGCCCAGAAAGGAAGATTTGTCCCAAATCACTGCAGAAGCCCATGCAAAAGTCAGGTGTAAATGCCAAACCAACCAGCTTCAGTATGGTGCTAAATGACCAGCTGAGCCCTTTTCTATCTAGTCTTTTCTTTTTCTTTCTGTAGTTGTTTGGCAAATAAATACCTAGGCTAATGTTTTTACAGACCACATGTATATTTTAAGCACTATTTTTTGTGGAATCCTACTTTTAATGTCACAGTAACCAGCAGTTTATCTCCCAATGTACCAAAGGGCTTATTTCTTGCTCCAAGGAGCTAAAAGTTAATAATAGGCATAGAACAGCGAGTGGTTAGAATCAGTAAGCTAAGGGGAAAGCAAGGGACTGGGCTATGAGAGATCATCATTCTTTTCATAGATCTGCTTCTGATGTGCTGAGTGATGCTGGATAAACCTCTCTGGTGGACATCACCTCAACAGCATGTGTTGTCTTTGTCTGGATTGCCAATGTTTTGAGGATAAGACTCCCTTTCTTATTACATGTTAATGAAGGGTTTATATCAATGAAGTTAATTCTAAAGTGTCTATAGATTACTTTTTTGTCTGTCCATGAGACAAGAGCAAGCTATTGTCAGTATATTTACCTCTGCCATTTGGGGGCCTCCACCTTCCACTGGAAGCATCTGAAGGATGAAATAGGTGGGAAACCTTTGGCTCACATCAGCCTGAGAACCATGGACTCTGCTGCACTACCAACCACTAGCAACTGTTGTGCCAGAAGTGAACAACTTGGCCAGCACACAGCCAAGAGAGCTCCGTTTGCTCATGGGTCGTCACACCTTCCCTGGCTTGGCTTTGAAGAGCCTTAAAAAGCAACGAGTATCAATACTATATTAAGGTTACAGCTTTACTTATTCTATGATAAGAGATTAGTTGTCTGAAGAAGTCAAAGTTAATTTTTGTGACCTCTATTTTCTCTTGTTTACTCTCTTATAAGGATCTGGAGATCACCTTGGAGTTCTCACCATTGAACAGGAAAAACAGGTGTTGCAAGGTTAGTGTCTTGTAGTAATAGTTCTTCAGCTCCTATTGCAGATGTGCAACAGTTTGAACAGCAGGTGCATGTGCAGCTTGGTGGTGTGACTTTGAATTGAATTATACTGTTCCTTGGTGTTCCCAGGAGGTTTCCTCATCCCTCCTCTTCTTTAGCACTGGAGCACTGAAATAGAGGGACCATGATGGGGACTGGTGAACTGTCAGGAATAGTTTCTGCACAACTAAGCTGTTTTAAAGCCAGAGAAAAAGCAAATCCGTGTTTTTCAGCCTGTGGACTTCACACCTCTGGTAGTTAGTAAGGAAGCAGTAGGCAGTCCATGAAACAAAGACTCAGCAACTATAAAATGGATGCACACTTCCTTATATCAACAAACAGAGAAGGTAAGGGGAAAATGCAGTTACTAAACGAACATCTGAAGTTAGGCTTCATTATTTGTTTGGTTGTTTATGGAAACCATTGCGCCAATGCTTCTTTTTTCTTTTCTCTGCTGTCTGGGGAAAAAAAAAAGTGCTGTGATGGTGTTTTGATTAAAGTGTAAAAAAAAATTGAGAGGGTGAACTCTCAAAACTGTTACCAGCTCTGATATTTTGTGATTCTATACCCTCCTCTGTGATTTCTAATTCTGCTCTCTGCTTTATCATTTTTGCCACTATTTACAGTTCTCTTTCTTCCTGTAATATATATTAAAAAAGGGTAAGTTGTAGGTGCAGCAAAATACTCCCCGGGAATGTTTAGTTTAGAAAAAGGAGTTTTTCCATCTCTCAACCTGTGAGGATAATTCAGTTTGCATGTACAGAATTGACAGATCCACTGTCACAGGATTGTGTTCTTTCTCTTATTTCTCACCATTCCACCTTCATTTCCCATAACACTGTGCCTTCTTCCTGTAATTTTTCAGCTCTCCAAGCTCCAAATTGTCTGCCCTCTTTGTGCCTCTAACACTTTGGATGCTTTCCCCACTTCTTTTTAGTTATTCAGTTTGTTCTTGCATTTTCTTACTGTCCCTCTCCCCTCCCCCAATTTTCCTCCACACAAAGATACCTTTTCTGCTTTTAAAGTAATTAAATTAGCAGAGCTGATTAAAATCTAGGTGAAGTAATTCTCTGAGCCCTGTGCTTTTCAACAGATGCATTACTCAATGTACATTAGCCAATCTTCTGTAGACCTCAGTGAATGACAGAAATGAATATTTGATGAATATATTCAACGACAATAGCATTATTCAAACACTTTACTCAATAAAGTACATTCAGCACACTCAGAAGTTAATGGTGCGTTCAGGTTACTCTGCACAGCAGAGCACGTGCCCAGCCCCAAGGGGGGAAACCAAGTCACTCATACATTTGAGGGAAACCAAGGGGTGGGGAGGCTCTTCTGGTCATTTCTGTCTCTAATGAGCAGGAAAAAAATGTGTGTGTATGTTGGTGGTTGGTTTAAGTCACATCTAGGGAGTAAATGATGTATGTGAGGAGGAAGGGAGATGACCTGCTCTATTCACTGACTGGCGGAACTTGTTCTCATGCTTATCACTTGTACTTCAGTCAGAAATGAGTAAAACAAATCAATGTATCTCTGATCTTCAGCTTTTGTCCCAGTTGGGGTGTGCATTGAGCTGGGGGTTGAAGTAAATCTAACCTCACTTCTTGCTCCATTCAACGTTTTCTTGAGCACTTGGTGGGTCCCTTCCAATTCAGAATATTCTGTGATTTTGTGAAATAATCCATTTTCTACTGATTAAGACTCTTTAGTGCCTCCTTTGTAATTTCCCATAGAGGCCAAGTCTTTTTTGTGGTCTTGATGTCCACAGTGCCAAAGAGATCCTGCTTTGACCCTTCTGTAGCTTTTTTAAATCTTTGAGTATTTTCATTGTCAGCCTCAGCACTGGACATTACCTTCATGTAAATTGATGTCATTTTCCACAATCTACTCAATTTCTTTAGCCAGCTTCCCTTCTTGACTCCCTTTGATTCATTCTACACAAAATGAACCTCCTCTGAATGCTAAGGCTGAAATCTCTCCTTGACTACAAAGATTTGAATCACATTTTTTCTTCTCTTGTCCTCAGGTTAGTCAGAATATAATTTTGCCAAAGTGCCACACCCTGACACCGCTCAGCATCTGCTTTGATGTGTATTGCCACTTCTAGAACTGTTACAAAACCTCTTACCAATGTCATATTTTTCCTACTGCTCAGCTGTGTGCTTATTAGAAGATTTCTCTTTTATTGTTGTCTGAATCCTCACCTTGCTCTTAATTTCATACAGCCCACATAATGTCTTTGTCTTCTCTAGCCTCAGCTAACTTAACCTCTCATCAGTCTGTGCCTGTGCTGTTCCATGAAGTCAATTTTCTCTTGTTTATCAGTTGAGTAACTCCTTATCTTCGAGGTCCATTTTAGTTTTTCCATTCCATATGTTCTTTGCAAGGCTTCAGTGAATTAGTTGCATTTTCAAAGCATACAAAAGCATCAGTTAACATGCACATCTATAGCAAGAGTGGTGCATAAAGCAAACAAATCTTTTAAAGTCACATTTGCAGCTCCTTTGAACAGAGGAGCTGTGCTGGTTATAACCCAAACAGTACCACAAAACAGGCCCTGTGGCCCTTTAGGCTTGAAGCCGAAGGTTGTCCTATACAGCCATTTCTCAATATCATGTGAAGGCTGCAAGTGGAAAAAAATATAACCAAAGTTCTGCAGGCTTCTGGCTGTAGGAGCATTGCTGGACACAAGACCTGGCCTGCAGTCCTTTAATAGATTTCAATTTCTCCTCAACAGAGCACATAGACCAGGAATCATCTTCAGATCTGTAAAATCCTCAAGGTAAATTTCTCAGAGTATATTTAGGTATCTCCATGGCCTGATTTCCACCAGTGCTGGCTGCCACTGATTTTTGTGCCATGCTGGTGACCCAGCATATCTTTTATTTCTGTTCAGCTGAAGGCTCAGAACTGGTATAATTTCAGGCATGGATTAATAGGTGATATTAGGCTTTTTACATTAGAAAGGGATGGTGCGGTTATTGTGGCCATTAGCAAAAGCCTCTTTCAGCCATACTCATTTTACATGGCATAACAAAATTCAGTCTTCCCTTCAACAGTGCTTGTGTGCATCTTAAAAATCTTAGGAAGGGCCTCTTTAGGTTTGCTGTCAAATCTCCTCCAGAGGACAGCTCATCCACAAGATGCACACATATGCACTCACATTCATACTTGCTCCTGTGAACGCTTTGTTTCCTTGCCTGTGCTTTATCACAGTGGTATCATCATGCTTTGCTGTTCAGCTCCTTTGAGACTGATGCAGTGATTGCGTGTTACTTACCCAGAAAGCATCAAAGCCCTGGTGCTGCTGTCTTCAAGAACTTAGTTTAATCTTCTGCTTGAGCTCTGTTTGCAGATGTGGAGGACAGAAACAGCTCTTTAAAGAGGTATTTCAAGAAGTCACTATCTTCCAAACACGTTTAAAAGCATAGGAGCATATGTCTGAAAGGATATAAGCTAACTGATATTTCCCTGTTATTTTTTATCTGCAGCATAAAGAAGTAGCTTGGTAACCATTCTTCCCAGTATAAATCAGCAATATATTAATTTCTGCAGCTGTCCCTCAGCTCCTCGAGTAAGTCATGAGCTCTAATGGTAGCACTGCAGGAATAGCCAAATAACCTTGCTCCCCAGCAGAAGTCTGGCCATAGGCAGAAGTCATGATGGGCTGCAGAATCAAGAGAGAGCAAAAGAAGTACTGAGCTTTATAGAATCACAGAATCATTTAGGTTGGAAAAGACCTCCAAGATCATCAAGTCCAACCTTTGGCTGATCACAACCTTGTCAACTAGACTGTGGCACTAAGTGCCATGTAATTTCTTGAACACCTCCAGGGATGGTGACCCCCACCACTTCCCTGGGCAGCCTGTTCCAATGCCTGACAACACTTCCTGTGAAGCTTTGTGATGCTGTGGCCTGATTGCTACTTGTACTCAAACTTGCCAGTGGATGAACTTGCTCATACATCAGCAGTAACTGCAGCTACAGCAATGGGATTTGTATGTGCCACTGCAACCACAGAGGGGTACATTTACTCTCCTGCTAGGCAGAGCTTGCAGGAGCAGTAGATGGGTAAGGACACTAAAAAGAACACAAAGATCTGGAAACTTCTGATTTCCCTCCTCATATCTCCCAGCCATTCTGTGTCCTGGGAATACATTTACTTTTTGCTCTTTCAAAACAAGGGTGCTCGATATCCTGAAAGATCCACTCAGACCTGGAGATAGGGCCAGGTGGAAAAGTGACTGTATATTCTTGGGGGTTATCTCAGGTCTTCTTTTGACTTTTACAAGAGTCTCACTGCCAGTGGCTCCCTTAGACAGCTTTTCCAAAATAAGTGTTACAGATTTAGGACAGGGGAAAACTTGTGCAGATAAGAAACTGTAACACAGACACATGAACATATTTTTTGAGCGATATATACACATAATAAGAAATACAACAAATAAAATCCAATTAAGCAGGACAGGATTTAAAATGTTGCACAAGCTTACTCAGAAGTTAGACCACAGACAAAAAGAAATCAATTTGCACTTGTGTAGTCAAGTTATTATGGGACACGTGGCTCCTATACATAAATTTGAAAGTGAAATCTTACTTACCTGGGCTTAGTATTTACATAACTGACAGGTCTAAGTTAAGTGTACTTCAGTGGTAGAGTGCCAGCCTCAACTTGCCAGAGAAAGCTCTACCTGACAGTCAGAAGACCCTTGGGGAGAACACGCACATTTCTCACAGAGGACAGTTTAACAGAATGATTAAGCTTCAACCTAATTGACAAAATGTATTTAAACAGCACATAAATTTTGTGTAATAGCCTCCGAATGTACAAATTATCAGAAGTAAGATCAGCTTGTTGTTGTTTTCCTTTTCAAATGCCTAATAATCTTAAATTATTTCAGCTATTGGTTACATTTCATGTTGAATGAATGTCTCATTTTTCTTCACCCAAGAGGAAGCATCTCTCTGATCTTGTGTTTCTTTGATACAGCATTTCCTTCTTTCCTTGAAGAGAAAAATGAGCTGGGGATTCCTACAGGATCTGCTGAGTGAATAAATACTCAACAGGAGTTGGAAGAATTTGGGTAGCTGTTGTGTTCATGTTCCGCTTACTGGTTTATGTTGCAGCCGCAGAAAACATCTGGAAATATGAACGTGATGAATTTGAATGCGATATCAAACAGCCTGGTTGTGAAAATGTCTGCTTTGACCATTTTTTCCCTGTCTCCCACATCAGACTTTGGGCTTTGCAATTAATCATGGTCTCCACCCCTTCACTCTTAGTTGTTTTTCATGTTGCTTACAGAGAGAACAGAGAGAAACGCCACAACCAGAAGCTTTACAGAAAACCAGGAGAGATAGATGGTGGGTTGCTGTACACTTACCTAATCAGCCTCATTTTAAAAATAGGATTTGAAATGGTTTTTCTTGTTCTGTTTTATAAATTGTACAATGGATTCAAAATACCACATCTTGTGAAATGTGACATAAGACCATGTCCCAGTAGCGTAGACTGCTATATTTCCAAACCCACAGAGATGATGATTTTCCTCTCTTTTCTGGTGGCAACTTCATGCCTGTGCATCATATTAAATCTAAGTGAATTGAGTTATCTCATTTTCAAATACTCTCTAAAATGTTATCTGAAGAGATACGTGAAGAAACAGCAAGGCTCCAAAAACAATTGTCGCAAATCAGAAATCACTGGTTACAACAGAGCAGCACCTGCAGGACAATTCCCCAATAGCTCCTCATCTTTGCCTCTGAATATATGAGATGAACATGAAAAATGTTCCCCATTGACTTGAAAGAAGGCTGGAGACCCCCCTCCCATTACACAAGCTGCTTTTGACAAATTGCTTTTCCAATCAGTGCTTTATGGAACTGAAAGGATAGTTACAGAGGAAATACTGTTTCTCTACTAGTTCCCCATTACTCCAGCTGATAAATTCAGTTACATTATATATGTCATACATAAAATCATCGAGATCTTTTCATGTTGAAACAAGAAGTGTAGAAGTCTGAGAATTCCATGACGTTTTAATATAAACACAGATGCTTATGATAAATCATGTGAAACAATTGCTCACAGTTGTGTATTGAATATTGCACAGAATTGCTTTGGTACAAGCAAAAAAGAGGCTTTTAATATGCAGAGGTGGAAGAACTTGGGATTGATTAAGAAACTGAACAATAAGAGAATGTACAGCATTTGTCAGGTGGGTGGATCTGATGACTGTTGCAACAGCAATAGGAAAGTGCTGGTGTTTGAAGAGAACTATATAGTTGCACGCCCATTCCACCAGACTAGAAAACATATCAAAACCAGAAAAAAACAAGAAGAGGTAGACACATCTATTTTAGCCCATGGTGATAAAGACAGACTTGCTTTTTTAGCTGTTTATGGAGCACCTCCTTCTGAAAGCATCTGAGCCCTTTACAATTTTAAGGGTATTAATCATCAGAACGCATCCTCTAAGAAATGGCACTTGCTCAAACTTGTGCAAGCAGCACCAAGCAGCTCCCGAGTCATTAGACTTGTCTTCTGCTTTGTGGCTGTGACATTTAAAAGAAAGGATCATTCCCAGTTCTGCAGGAGTGAGTAGAGAAATGCAGACCACACAGTATGGCAGAACAGTAGCCAGTAGTCCCTAGTATTGAGTAGCCTGGAATCTGGTCCCTTAAGTAAGGCTGAAAATACTGTTGCTCTTTCCTTCAGTAGATTTCTCTGCTGTAGAACACATGAAATCAAAAAATATGAAAAATCTCCAGTAGAAACAAAGTAAAAAAGAATCATCTATTCCCTCCCCCCCAAGTTTCAGAGTATCTCTTAAATACCACACACTTCTGCTCTGTTATGTGTATCATTTGGGATAACAGGAAAGGGATAGAAATTAGCTAAGACATGTCTTCTGTTGAACCTAGACATTCGAGACAACAGAAACTAGTACCTAAAAAAACTTATTTCAGGGTGGTGTGCTCTTTCTGTTGCTGGAATGAAAGACCTTTGAACAGATATCAGTACTGAGCCTGATCAAAATGCACCCTTTAGCATTACATTTATGAGTAGTGGGGTAGCAGTTACAGAATTAACTTTAAGAACTAGTGAATAAGCTATGTGCTTTTTGACTGTGATTTTCAAGGTGTGTTGGTTTGTTTTTTTCCTAAAATAAATCTACTTTTATAAGGTTTTGCTGCTGAACTGAGCAGTGACAGCAGTCCCTCAGATACCACCTTGCCAGCCTGTGGCCAGTTAGTTTTACATCTCGAGTGATGCTGAATCAGTACCTATATCAAGCTGTTTTACACAATTCAGGATGTTTCCTGTTAAATTTCTACATACACAGAATGTGGCTCATGACAGAAATTCCAGTTAGAAAGTCTTTTGCAGCTACTGGACAAAACCCACCAAAGAATGCATGAAACAAAACCACTGCCCACGAGTCCTGTGAAACTGTGACTTCCACAGTTTGAGTAACGGAGAACAAAACCCAAAATCATCTTGGACCTTTTGTGCCCTCATGCATAATTTTTTTAAGACAAGGGCAACACTACGAAAGAAAAAAGTGTTTCTAAAATGTCTGGGTTTTAATTATTGAGGACAGATTTTAAGACAGCACATTAATGAAAAAGTATTCATTGTTTTTTTAAGTAAGGTTTATTTGGGAGAAAATGAAGAGAAGCAAACACAGTTTAGACAACACAGGTTTCTGATAAATTTGTGCATTAGCTGCTCTCTAATAAAAAAGTATATAAAGTCAGCGCTTGAAGGGTTTTAGAGCATCCCCTAAAGCTCTGTGGCTGGTCAGAGATTCCCACTTAGACCAAAAATTTTCCCATGAAACAAGAACTCTAATTCTTTGGAATGTATGTTCAAAGTTTTATTTTTAATTCTATCTTCCAACAGCCATGAAATGATAAATAAATTCCAAAATCAACACGTTTTGAGTCTTGGAGGACACTTCAGTTCTGACAAAGCCAGTACCTTACATGAGAAATGTTCTGAGAATTTTTTATTATGGACCAACTCTGTGTAACCCAGCTCACAGCAAATCACCAAGTAGCCTTCACATCATGCGCTGAAAAATTTGAGTGTTTTGACAGAGCAACTAATGAAAAGGGAGTATCACACAAGGCAGCTCTGTCAGATTTTACTGAACCTGAGAGAACAGAATTAAACTCATCTCTTTCTGAACCCTTGTTCTTGGCCATCATTTGGTCTTTTACTGGCTCCTTCCCTTCCACAGTCCTTTCCCTGCCTCTATAGGCTTTTGTTCTCCAGTTTAAGTTTCACTCATCCATACATCCCTGAAGGCATTTGCTGTTATATTTTTTGGTTCAAATGAGTTTACAGGCTTGGCCCCTAAACTTCTGAGTCACTCAAATAGACATGTTAAAAGATTTAATTCAAGTGCTATGTTCCACAACAATATAATCAATTGATAAGAAGCTGATCTGAGCCTATACAGTAATGGAGAAAAAACATGGTCACTCCATGCACATTCATACAAAAATATTTACCTCATTCATATTCCAAAACATCAAAAGATCCATGTCTTACATAGTCTTTCATTTTCTTTAAAATCCAAGTAAGCTCCTTGCCTTGGGACAGAAGAGGTTTGAAAAAAAGACACAGAAAAATATTTCCCTATTTGCTGATAGTTTATTCCCTCTACTTCCTTCTCCAGTACCACTGGCCCTGTTTCCCACCCCTTTAATAGTATCACCTTCTCCATGCCAAGGCTCCAGCCAGGGCTGAGCATGAGCTTCTCCAGCTCAGGGGACCTAAACCTCAGGGCACCATGTCCCTGCCTGCACAGGTGGGAGCCATAACCAACTCTTTGGCACAGAAACTCATTGCAACAATTAGCCAACTACTTTTCCCCACCTAATCCAACAACTGGTTCCAGTGTTACTTGTACAAGCATTGCTCACTTGCTATCCAACAGCCATAGACTTGACATCCCAGTCCCTCCATCCTGCTCAGAAGGACCACCTGAAACATGTGAGGACAAACCCACTACTCTTATTTACACTGAATTAGGGCTCAGACAATAGATTTCTTTATAAACATAGTTAACCACAAGAGAGACTGACTGTGACTTTCAATCACAAAACAGTCTGTTCTCTGCATCCAGCCAGACTCCTCGATTTGGTTGCTTCCCCATCAGCACCAACTTCTGTTTTGGTCAGTACACTCCTGATGGCAACAAGGGGTTAAAAGAAAGAGCCTTTGCTCGAATGTCTTCCCCCCCACCCCACCCCCGTTCACAGGTGACAAGTCTGGAAGGCAGAGACAGAGGAAGGAAAAAGGCAAGGCAGAAGACAGAGAGGGACTAAGCAATGGGGCCAGTGGCACCTCTGGGTGTTGGGGCACCCTGCAGGCTGAGGTGCTGCTGGTAGAGCTGCCTTGGCCACTTTGGAGCCCCATCCTACCCTGCAGCCCCAAGGGCAGGGGTATGGCTTCAGGCTCCAGAGAAGCTATCCCTTCAGGCATCCTGCTGCAGCGGGAGGTTTCCTACATCACCCAACATAAAACATCCAAATGCAAATACCTTTTTTATTTCCTTAGGAGCCTTTCTAGGTGGCATTACCAAACCAGAGTGACCTCTGCAGCCTGTGACATCTTAAATCAGACCCTGCCTTTGGTCCCCCACTTTTAGTTCAAAACACTTTTTTTAAAAAAAGGAAAAAACAAGCCCCATACTAGCTTACCTGTGTCAGTATCCACCTAAAAGGGTCAGGGAAGGCACGGACTATATTGGAATAGCACCTGCTTTAACTGGACTGGGATGAGACAGTATTAAATATTTCATTCTCAGAAATTCAGACCCTACATTCAGATCCAAACCAGAAATTACTTTCTGGATATTTATGACATTGGAATTTTTTTCCTTTTCTCTTTTTTTTAAATAGCATTCTAGTATAGCACTGTTTAGCTAAATAGTTATATACCATTCTCAGTCCAAGAACTGCAAATGATGTGGAATTTATCATCAGGAATGTCAGTGCTGAAACTATTCAACTCACAACACAAAAATTCTTCTAAAAGACTAACAGTTGCAAGGTCTGTTGACAGTGACTGCAGTGGCTAAGTACAGCTGAAAATGAGATTTCAGGCGATCTTTGTGGATCCACTCCAGAGGACCTCTGCCCTCTTCTGCCCCGCAGAAGTTCCCTCTACAATCACCATGGCTGGTATCCAACAGTAGCTCCATCCAGGGGGACCACGTGGTTTCTAGTAGGTAGAACACGGCACTGTGTGCTTGTAACTATTATAACAAACTCTCCTAGAGTTAAAATGCAAGGATTTGGTTTGGTTTTATCAGACAACACCTTTGATTTACTAACTTGGCAGAATTATCAGTTTAGTCACCTGGGAGGGATCAAAAGCAAGAGGAGCCAAGGGGCTCTGTTCAAATGGAAGCACAGGCTGTCTGTGAAGGGAGGCAATTTAGCACCACAAAGCAAACCAAGGGCTATGCCCAAGTTGAATTGCTGTCGCCTTCCTGCTGTTTCATACATAATCCTCACTCTCGCAACAAGTAATTTCATTTCATTGTAGGAATGTGCCCTCTGGACTGATATTCAGGAAAACTCTCAAAGATTCCAGGTGAATAGCTTAAGAGCAATCAAGTGTAGCATTTAATACAAAGCTTTACATGGCAAGACAACTTTATAGAAAAAAAAATAAAAATCAAGCCAATCTCACCCAAGTTAAAGACTATATTACTGAAGGTAGGTCACATCCAATAACGAGAATAATCCAAGAAAAATTTTTGGTACCACGCAATCCAGCTGGTTTGTCCCATCTGAGTCAAGATAATCACACGTAAAAACCAACACTGAAGATTCCTGGGTAGTGACAGCTCCCACCAATGCATTCACACTTTTGGTTACTCAGCAAACTGGATACCTGTCATTTCAGTTAGCAGCATACAGAGGAATTGCTCCAATCCTGGG